CTTAGTTATTAACATGTTGTCCAGAGTGCCTGCTTATCTAAATATTGGACTTAATATCCGATGATCTAATTTATGAGCAGACCATTTACTTCCTGAACAGCAGACAACTGCTTGGTTAAGTAGTTTGGATTATATTTCTTTTCTTTACAGCATTGGACAACTAATTTTTATAGTGCGATCCTGAATACTGGATTAGGTTTTAATCCTGCATCACTTTCTTAAGTTCTTCTGTGGAGGCCTTTACAAGTATCTCAGATACATTTTCAATGCTTTCACCATCACTTTCATTGATTTATCCGCTTGACATGTACTTTATCACTGTGAATCCCTGATTATTCCTGTTTAGTTCACTCTCGCACACGAGATCTATCAGATTTTACTTTTAATATTCATTGGCACTGTCTGTTCCTGAGGGACATAATTCTGGCAGCATCAACTTGAGAAACACATTACTCTATCTCGAACTTCGTATCTAGCATTTTCATACCTTTTCATTATCAAGATTATCATAACATAGTGCTTTTACAGGTTCCCTTGCATTTCATTTGTTTGTGAAGATTATTTTAATTTCAAACCAAAGTTTGTTTCATACAATGGATGCTGTGTATATTACATTGAATCTTCATCGATGGAAGTGCATATACAATACTAACATTGGGTGATAATCAATTGCTACTTTCATATCTTTCCAGGTTCTCTTACGTGCCAAAGGGGAAGATATATCAATATTGAAAAAAATAGCAGGATATTTGCTTGAGCTTGCCAAATGTGACATTAATTATGATGTTCGTGATCGTGCTCGTATCATGAGTAATCTCCTGTCTCACCTTATTGGATCTCCTTACTTAGAAGAAGTACAGGACAAACCAGAAATTAAAGACCTCTCATATGTACTTATAGAAAGCATATTTGGGGGACAAACAAAACTGCCTTCTTCTGAACCCTTAAGCTATCGATTTTATCTCCCTGGTTCGCTATCGCAGATAGTGCTTCATGCAGCTCCAGGATACGAACCTCTGCCTGAGCCTTGTAGTCTCATTTATGACGAGAGCTGTAATTTTTCAACTGATGTGCAAGGAATAAAGTCACCCGGAGTTGGTGTTGCACATAATGAACCAAATGAAAATGATGATTCTGAAGCCGTATCTGGATCTCTGGATGAAGAAAACACATCTGATTACAGTTCCCAAGAATCTATGATTGGTTCAAGTGAAAGCGGTGGCAGCTATATCAGCAGGTCTGCTAGCGATGTTAATGACAATGCTGGACCTTTAATTCATCTTTCAGATGCTGACCTTATTCATAGAAATGGAGCTGAGGTTTCAGAGGAAAATGATCCCTCTGGCTCTAATGGAGCTGATGAATTTATGTCTAAAGGAGCTCTTGAATCATGGTTGGATGAAAATTCTGGTTTGAACCAAAATTCATCTGATATAAGTCATGTGCGAAAATCATTGGCCAGAATCTCAATTAAGGATATTGGGGGCCTAGTTAAACCTAAATCTTATACATTGTTAGATCCTGCAAATGGAAATGGGTTACATGTGGATTATATATTTTCATCTGAGGTATCCAGTGTATCTCCACAGCTTGTATGTCTACACATTTCCTTTAGGAACTGTTCAAAGGAGCCCATGTCAGATATCTTACTTTTTGAAGGCGAATCTGACAGAAGTCCAGATTCTTCAGATCAGTCAGTGAGTGAAAGGTATTTTTAAGCTAATCCTTCATTGTTTGCAATTCTAGCATTTCCCAC